CAGCCAGCCCGCCGGCTGGCTCCGAGGCGGTGGCGGCGGCGTTGCAGAGCGTCTCCTGCGCATGCGCAGGAGACGCTCTTGCACTTTCGGGGGGATTTAAACATCCCCCCGAAATTTTTTTAAACTTTTTGCATTTTTGTGCACACGTGGGGACTGGCCCACGTGTGCACAAACCTCCCCCTCCCCCCCACCTGCCCCCTCCGTGCTGATTTAGCGATCCGCACGGAGGGGGCAAGTTGGCTATTAGATATATAGATATGGAGCAGAGGTCCATCAGTGGCTATTAGCCACAAGGTACAGATAGGAACTCTGGGGTCAGTGATGCTCTGTCTTCTTGTTCCGATGGGGGGGGCAACAGTGGAAGGGCTTCTAGTGTCCTGGCCCCACTGCTGGACCCCCTGATGGCACCTGGTATTTTTGGCCACTGTGTGACAAAGTGTTGGACTAGATGGGTCATTGGCCTGATCCAACATTGGCTTCTCTTATGTTCTTATCTCCAAGCCCTGGCTGGAGATTGACCACGCTCTCTAGTCCAGCATTCTGTTCACACAGTGGCAAACCACTTTGTTTCTGAAAACTCCCGTTAACTATTTAAAAAAAAAAAAGATTGAGGAATGGACATTTTCTACCTGTCCAAGTGGGGGGGGGGCACAAATAACTGGGCTCAATAAGGCTGCAAAAGCACAGGCAGGCCAATCAGCATCTCACATCCAGGGGTAGCCTCCTATGGTTCTGAGAAGCCGCTGTCTAAGTCACAGTGGGGGGCTACCACAAAAAAAGAAAATTGGCAACTCTTTCTCGAACTCCAAAGGGATCTGACGAGGATGGGCGATCGGCCGTCAACGTGGCAAATCGGGTTTCATTTGGCCAAGTGCAAAGTGATGCACATTGGGGCAAAAAATCCTAACTATAAATATACGTTGATGTGATCCGAACTGGTGGAGACTGATCAAGAGAGAGATCTTGGAGTTGTAGTAGTTAACTCACTGAAAATGTCGAGACAGTGTGCAACTGCAATAAAAAAGGCCAGCGCTATGCTGGGGATTATTAGGAAGGGTATTGTAAACAGATCAGCCAATATCATAATGCCGCTATATAAATCAATGGTGCAACCTCATTTGGAGTACTGTGTACAGTTCTGGTCACCACACCTCAAAAAGGATATTATAGCATTGGAAAAAGTACAGAAAAGGGCAACTCGAATGATAAAAGGGTTGGAACACTTTCCCTATGAAGAAAGGTTAAAGCGCTTGGGGCTCTTTAGGTTGGAGAAATGACAAGTGAGGAGTGACATGATCGAGGTTTACAAGATTATGCATGGGATAGAGCAGGTAGTGAAGGAAGTACTTTTCTCCCTTTCTCACAATACAAGAACTCATGGACACTCAATGAAATTGCTGAGCAGTTGGGTTAGAATGGATAAAAGGAAGTACTTCACCCAAAAAGTGATTAACATATGGAACTGACTACTACAGGAGATGGTGGCGGCTACAAGCATGGACGGCTTCAAGAGGGAATTGGATAAACATATGGCGCAGAGGTCCATCAGTGGCTGTTAGCCCCAAGGTGTAGATAAGAACTCTTGGTCTGGGGCAAGTGATGCTCTATATTCTTGGTGCTTGGAGGGGGGGCAATAGTAGGGCTGCCAAATGTGGGCGGGGGGGCAGGGAATCCCTCGCTTTGAAGCCCCGATTTCTGACGCGGCGGAATCAGCCCCTGGGGGAACCCCGCCCCCGGCGTGCACGTCACTAGCAAGTGACGTGGGCACGCCGGGCACGCTGGGGGCGGGGCCACGGCCATACAAGGGAAAACTCTATGGTTTTCCCTTGTATGGCCGTGGTCCCGCCTCCAGCGTGCCCAGCGTGCCTACGTCACTTCCGGGTGATGTGCACACGGCACGCGCACGCACACACCCCCAACGCTGGCCAGGAGCCCCCCGCTCCTGGCAAAGACGGATTTGGCAACCCTAGGCAATAGTGGGAGGGCTGCTAGTGTCCTGGCCCCACTGATGGACCTCCTGATGGCACCTGGTATTTTTGGTCACTGTGTGACAGAGTGTTGGACTGGACTGCCTTCTCTTATGTTCTTATGGATGTGCAGAAACATTTTGAGGTCAAGCAGACGTTTCCCAGTGGACATAACGACTTGGCTCCAATGAGATTCTAGACAGCTATCCTCTTTTTGGGGTGGGGCGGGGTACCATTTAAATAAAGGCTGAAGCAGTCCTGTTACTCATGTCCGCCATCGTGACTCCTAAGCACCTATAATCCTGACCAACCTACTGACTCTCTCCCTGCCCCCCCCCATGAACAGGTGGATTGCCAACCTCCAGGTGAGAACATACAAACACTGTGATATGCTCAAGATAGGTAGCCATGTTAGTCTGTGTGTAGCAGTAGAAAAGAGCAAGAGTCCAGGAGCACCTTAAAGACTAACAAAATGTGTGGCAGGGCAGGAGCTTTCATGAGTCACGGCTCACTTCTTTAGCTACAGCTAGAATGGGAATCCATCTGTCCTCTTTATTGGAAAGTGGAGTGATTTCAGACGCCGAATGACATCAGTAGGCAAATGATAACAGCAGGCAAATGACAATAGCAGGCGTGATTGGATTTAGGTGGGATATGCAGAGTGGTAATAGGCATGGAGAAATCAACATTGGTATTGGCTAACACGTTTAGTAAGACACTTTAGAATCAATATATAAACTTTATGTCACATTATAGAGAAGAACATCCTTAGAGAACTTCATCCTCATGAAGTTACTACGGGCACCTGGATGTAAGTTTGTTTTGTCAAAGGTCTTCCTCAGGTGTATTCCTGTTGTCTTCAAAGTTATCAGCCTCTTGTTACAATCCAGTGTTTGTACTGGGAGCA